CTGTAGAGTAGAAGTTATGAATGGAAGTTAATTCATTAAGCGTTTCTGTGGTACATCAGCAGCAATACCAGAACATAGATGTAGAGGTAAAAAAGTACACGGAAGTGAAAACACGAACACAACAAATAAAAAAACATTTATCAGGTTATGTTGATATGTTTTTTGCTCTTAAATTTTGGCCCAACGGCTTAACAGGGTTTCCGTGACCTCTCCACGGGTGGTCCTCATTCGCATGGTGCCACTTTGTCTCACCAGGTGTTTATCGCTTGTGTGGTGTCCTGGTGGGGTACAATTTACCTACCTACCTACTCTTACATTTGAAATCTTCTTTTTATTCTTCATCATCTTCTTCTCCTCCACCTCACCATCCTCCTCCTCCTCCTCTTTTGTCTTTTTCTTCTTCTTCTTCTTCTTCTTCTTCTTCTTCTTCTTCTTCTTTTCTTCTTCTTCTTCTTCTTCTTCTTCTTCTTCTTCTTCTTCTTCTTCTTCTCTTCCTTCTCCTCCTTCCTCTTCTCCTCCTTCCTCTTCTCCTCCTTCTTCTTCACCTCCTTCTCCTCTCCTCCTTCTTCTTCTTTTTCTTCCTCTTCTTCTTCTGATACCATACTGCTATCATACTTTGAAACTGTAAGTTGAAGAAAACAAAAAGCTGTAAAAGCGAAAGCAGCTTTCTTGGAGTGTTGAGAAAGATGATTTTAGTTTATCTCAGAAAGAAAGATTTTAAAACAGTCAGATCGTCGACACCATTTTGACGCAGACAACAGTAAAGTATATTGTTTCTGTTTTAGTTTTGCTTTCAAGGTCACTGCAATCGAAAGATAAATTATGTCTTTAAGTGAAACTGCCGAATTATTCTTGTTTTGTGGCTGCTGCTAAGATGAAGTTTGTGCTTGATTAATTGTTTCAACTTTAAAAAACAGCTTTTGTGTATACTTTTTTTAAATATGAATATATTTATTTATGAGAATATTCTGGTGGATATTTTATAGCAATTTCAGGTCTGTTTTTGGAGATTAGCTCTGTCTTTCTCCTTCTCCTCCTCTGTATATTCGTTCTCAACATCCCTCTTCTGTATTCTTATCCTGTTACAACTTATTTGCTACTATTGTTTTTGTTGTCTGTGCTACGGTTCTTCCTCGTTTACTTCCATTTCTTTTTCTTCACCACAGCCTTCTCCTCCTCCTTTTCTTCTCCTCCACTTACCTCTTCGAAATGAGTGTTGGGGGCGTGGGGTAAGGGGCGGGGCGGGCGGGGTGCTGGTAATGTAATCTAAGGAATTACGGTGTGCTCTTTCTAATGCGATGTACAAGCTGATCATCGTTTTTTTTGGCTATTCATGAGCGTTGCATTGTTTTTTTTTAATTGTCTTCTAAAAACTCTGCGTTAATTATATTTCCTTAAGGCAAGAGTGAACACTGAGGTTCTTTTTTTGTGAATGGGCATTTCTTGTAAGTTTAAATGACAGTTTAATCTCTTGGGGTTTGAAACCCAGGTCTCACATTTCGCACATAACAGGTTATGATTACAGATTCAGAATTTCCAGACGCATGTTCTTTAACATGGTGTTGGTCTGCAGCCAATCATGTTGCGGCTACAGGCGAAAACAAAACGGAGAAATCGAATAGCTGATAGTGCAACGATTCGACTCTCAGAAACAACGCTCTAGCTAGTATATAAGCTTGTCATACCTCTGAGCAACAAATGTCTTATTAACTAAACAACTTTAATTCAAAATATATCCATACATTTTTCTGGCAGTCTTAGTCGTTAGCTGGCATGCGAAATATTGCGGCTACATGCCTGGTCCGTAGGTGTAAAATGTTTGAAGAACGCTATCCTAAACTACTTAGTATCTCCCGGTATGTTGTGATCAATATCACATCAACCACCTTACATTACACACAACTGTCTGGCTCGCATTATGTAAGAATGGGTCTCATACGAGGTAACTTGGTGATGGAAAGAATCTGGAAAGGGTTTGACCAAGAATCACTGGGTAAGTTCACTGGCCATTACTTTGCTTATGGCTTCATAACAACGACTCCCCCTCCCTTCCCATCTACTGTAAACAAGAAAGTTTCTGTAGCACACTTCCTGTTTACAGTGGTGGGTTAGCTGGCCCGCCATCCATATCTCCTCCTTTCTCATCATTACTTGAGACCGGCAATAACGCAGATGGGGAAAAAGGGTAAAAGGAAAATCGACAAGGAGACAGAATTATTAACATGAGCAGAAAGTGGAAACAAATGCTCCAGAATGGATTCCATCCAAAATATCCAGTGGACGAGCAAACAAAATACAGATATATACCACGAGCCCTATGTGATGTGTAATGACATACCAAGCTGTTGATGATGATGGTGGTGGTAGTGGTGGTCTACAGAACACCATATACACATAGAAAAGCTAAACACTCACCTGTGGATATGAGTCTCAGCAGCAGAGGTAGCAACATCATGAGGCACGACCTGGAAATCCACATGCTGATTCCTTCTGACACCATGGTCGTTGACAAGTAACTGACACTTATGTCCCAATGCTGAGGCAGTATTCGAGCAACGCGCACCTCGTGTGAACTGCTTTGCTGTTGTTTTTCAAAATATCGACAAAGCTCTCTCTATAACGAAAACTCCACATTGTTTTGGCTGTATCTGCTTCTAGTTAAAACATCAGTAGTGTTCGCTTTATAAATTTTTAACAAAAACTTACATTATAAATGCATTACATGCTTAGTGAGATATACGTTACATATTTTCAAAAGTTACTTGATAATAAACAAAAAAACATCTTTCATTCGCAGGTTAGATCAAAGCTAATAATTATGCGCATTATTTTCAGACGTTTTATTCACTTATAATTTCCCAGTACCAGTAAATGATCTAAAGAATATCAGGAAATCAAATGGTTTGGTTATTTGATCAGAATGAAACAAAATCAGCCATCAGCTGAAGTTTACTGCATGAGAACAGCAGGCTACGCGGTAAGAGGCCGACCAAGAAACAGATGGGTGGACTAATTAAAAGGAATACTACGGAAACCCAGTATAGCATTATTTCAAGCTACGCAGCTAGCAAAAGACTGGAAATTACATCTAACTCCTCCTCTCTACGGTCCTTTACGGCATAGGCAGTGCGATAAGACGATCCCAGCAGTTAACGTTACTCTAAAATTTAGAAGATCAAAGCAGTAAACGTTACTCTAAAAGTAAGACATCCCAGCAGTTAACGTTATTCTAAAAGTAAGACGATCCTAGCAGTTAACGTTTTTCTAAAAGTCAGACGATCCCAGCAGTTAACGTTTTTCTAAAAGTAAGACGATCCCAGCAGTTAACGTTATTCTAAAAGTAAGACGATCCCAGCAGTTAACGTTATTCTAAAAGTCAGACGATCCCAGCAGTTAACGTTTTTCTAAAAGTAAGACGATCCCAGCAGTTAACGTTACTCTAAAAGTAAGACGATCCCAGCAGTTAACGTTACTCTAAAAGTAAGATAATCCCATCAGTTAACGTTACTCTAAAAGTAAGATAATCCCAGCAGTTAACGTTACTCTAAAAGTAAGACGATCCCAGCAGTTAACGTTACTCTAAAACTAAGACAATCCCAGCAGTTAACGTTATTCTAAATGTAAGACGATCGCAGCAGTTGACGTTATTCTAAATGTAAGACGATCCCAGCAGTTAACGTTACTCTAATAGTCAGACGATCCCAGCAGTTAATGTTACTCTAAAAGTAAGATTATCCCAGCAGTTAACGTTTTTCTAAAAGTAAGATAATCCTATCAGTTAACGTTACTCTAAAAGTAAGATAATCCCATCAGTTAACGTTACTCTAAAAGTAAGATAATCCCAGCAGTTAACGTTACTCTAAAAGTAAGACGATCCCAGCAGTTAACGTTACTCTAAAAGTAAGACAATCCCAGCAGTTAACGTTATTCTAAATGTAAGACGATCGCAGCAGTTGACGTTATTCTAAATGTAAGACGATCCCAGCAGTTAACGTTCTCTAATAGTCAGACTTACCCAGCAGTTAATGTTACTCTAAAAGTAAGATTATCCCAGCAGTTAACGTTATTCTAAAAGTAAGATAATCCTATCAGTTAACGTTACTCTAAAAGTAAGACGATCCTAGCAGTTAACGTTACTTTAAAAGTAAGACGATCCCATCAGTTAACGTTACTTTAAAAGTAAGATGATTCCAACAGTTAAAGTTACTCTAAAAATAAAACAATCCTAGCATTTAACGTTACTACTCTAAAAGTAAGACGATTCCAGCAGTTAACGTTACTCTGAAAGATAAGCTGATCCCAACAATTACTAATTCTATTTTACTCTGTCTATTACTTTAACAAATAATTTAACTATTACTTCGACAGTTACTCAAACTCAGCGGTTCTCAACATGTGAGACGCGACCCTTTTTCTGGGTCGAACGACCCTTCACATGGGTAGCCTAAGACCAACGAAAAACACACATTTACTAAAGTTGTGAAGTAGTAACGAAAATAACTGTATGGTTGGGGGTCGCCGCAACATGAGGAAACTGTAAGAAAGGGTTGCGACATAGGAAAGGTTGAGAACCCCTGTTCTAACTACAACTTTCACTTGGACTCAAAATTGGTAATGTCATGAAAAGGCAGCGCATTGGGCACTAGTTACACCAGTGGTCTCCAACGTGTGGGGCGCGCCCCGCTGGCGGGGGTGGGTTGGGGTGGGCATTCGGGGGCGTCAAGCAATTTTGAAACTGAATGTATTTTTATTTGTAATAATCCATTATATTATTATTTCAGTTTAACAACGAATAAAATACTACACTATTTTTAACAACGATTTATAAAACAAAAAGCTAGGACCACATTTGTTTTATTTCACTTGAAGTTTGTATATCTAGACTGCAAAATCTAATTAATATGATAACACAAATATTTTGTTATAGTTTCAAATCTTATTCCGGGAAAATGTGTCTCCAAACTGTTTCCCCAGGTGCATAATTTATCCTCCTCGTTTTAGGCTCATTTTGTTATTTGGGGAGTGGATGGAGGGGGGGGGGAGTAGAATCTTGCCTTTTGCTCACGGGAGGAGAAAGGGCGGCCATGGACTCAAGCGGTGCGCGAGGGCCCTGGCCATACACTCAAGCGGGAGCGGGGGGTGGGGCGACCTGAAATAACGTAGAAGACCACTGAGTTAGAGCTGTCTGGCAGTTGTCAGTCTGTCTGACAGTTACTCAGTCTGTCTGACAGTTACTCAGTCTGTCAGACAGTTACTCGCTAACCAACGAATTTACAACCGAGGAGACGATATATGTGTGAACTATAAAACAAGCAATTATGATAATCTGAACTAACCTGAAGCTTAAGACCTTAAAATCCAAGTTATTGTCGTTTTGTTGATAACAGTTGCATGATATAGAAATAATTAACAGCGCAATGTATTGGATGTTCTTCTAAATAATGTTTCTGTAAATTCTGTGTAAACAAATTTAAACAGTGTAAGAACTTGATCTTTCCTGGGACAAAGGTAGTAAGCCTATCATCTGTCGCAAATCTGACAGTAAATGTTATAGGAAATTTCTTGCAATACGGAGAAAAAAAGGAAAAAAAGGGGGGGGGGGCAAATTCTAGAAGCATCCTAGGAAATTGACATATTATTAGCATTTTGTATTTTTTTTTTCAATTTATCACAGTCCATGTAAGTATTTCTTCCTTTTATAATGCGGGAGAGGGGTGGGGGGGGGGGGGGGGGGGGGGGGGGGGGGGGGGGGGGGGGGGGGGGGGGGGGGGGGGGGTGGGGGCGAATCACGATACCATAAAACTATTTCGACTTCAAGTTTTGATTTCTTTTCATATGATTATCTGTTGAGGCGGGGACACATTTTGCAGTTTCCCCAAAACGATAATCGATCTCTATGGAAACAATAATTTTGTCATTAGCAGCAAAAAAGAGGCACACAAGAACGTGCAAGGCTTCCGCTTCACAATTATCAAAAGTAAAACACTGGGGTGGTTCCGGCACGCTGACACATCACGTTTATTTTCTTCAAGCTCATTAACAGATATTAATTTCTTAGGCGGAAAGGATGTCTGCTTCTTCTTCTTCTTCTTCTTCTTCTTCTTCTTCTTCTTCTTCTTCTTCTTCTTCTTCTTCTTCTTCTTCTTCTTCTTCTTCTTCTTCTTCTTCTTCTTCTTCTTCTTCTTCTTCTTCTTCTTCCTTCTACCCCCAATGAAGCATAGCCCCTCAACCAACTCACACCAAATAGTTATATCCTTCGTTTCTCATGCAGCTCACTCTATCCTCCTCATCTAACTTCACTCTCTAGCTTCCCTCTCCATGTATGTTTTGGTCTGCCTTTATTTCTACGTCCCTGTGGGTTCCGGTGCAAAGACATTCTAGTACTGTTCTCAGTTTTTGTCAGAGTGTGTCCTATCCAACGCCAGCGTCTTCTCTTCACCTCCTGGCTCACTGGAACTTTAGTTATCTCCCAATCGTGTCATTGAATTCGCTCTATTCTGCGCAAGCACCAGTTTACGAAAACGTGTGGTTTATCACAAATCCTGCTCTAACTGCTAATTCCACTGTTACATTTGTGCTTTGTGTTGAACTCAAATGGCGAAGAACCGCTTTGCAAAAATGCCTGGACATATGGGATAAACCCTGGTAGAATTATTCTGTTACACCTTAAGAGTACTGTTGGCAGGTTGTGCTATGGTTTACAGCTAGGCTTTGATATCTATGCCTTTTGATCGAATCCATCTGATTATAATAAACCGCCTAATAATACCATTTAACAACGTGATTGTTAGAGGCAGCAAATCTTTTCATCTTTCCAGCTTACACATTCGAAATAAAAGCTATGCACACGGCATTAGATACATTTAACTCATTTCTCTATAGTGCATTCAGACTCGCAGGGCATACTGTATAACTTTCAGAATCTTCTTAAAATAACCACACACAAAACATCGCTGAATCAAAAATACTGTCCCCTCCTAACCTAATACACAAAGTTAATTGCGTATCCTTTACAGGGCATTGCAGAACCAATTCCAGCAATTTGCTTACGTCCAGTAGTTTGCCATTGCTTTTCGGACGGTCGGCTTCTCGATACCACTTTCGAGACCAACGCAAGGCCCGCAGCGCCGAGATCGAATCCGGCCTCCCGGCATTACGAAGCTCTTTCGCAACGGCTAAGCCACCGAAGCCGACAAACTAATAGATGGTATAAAGTCTGAGTCATTACATCTGCGATACTGTATATCGTTTATCCACACGGAGCTGTCTATGTTCACACTCAAGTGTCAAGCAGTAACTTTACTATTTCGAAACATGTTCCATAAAAGTTGTTACAAATCTTCTACAGAACATCGCACACCAGCCCCACATTTATTGGCTTTTTGCAGGTTTCCTTGGGAATTTCAAGTTCTCTAGTTTGCCTTATCAGATTTAGTTTGTTATAAATGCAGATATTTCCCTCTAGAGCAGCGGTTCTCAACCTGTGGGTCGCGATCCCGT